ATGAATTTCTGACGCATACAAATATGTAATTTCTTTTTCCTCCTTGTCTCTACTCACCCTCAGGCAGATTGTAGTAAAGTCTATGCCACACACACATCTGAATCAGCCTGTGAGTATACCAGCCTGTGGTAAAAGGGGTTGTGTGTTAACTATGCAATACGTTGAATGAGTATGATTATGAAATATTAATCTAGCTGAACAGAAAAGAGAGGTACAAATACACCATAATACTGGAAGGTATAAATAGGTGGTAGAGGTTAGTCTAGTCCAGTGTTTCCCAAACTTTTGACATATGTGTACCCCTTCTATAATTTTCGTAACGCTGAGTACCCCTCATAAAAAACATACGCTTTAATAAAAATCAAAATATATTTATTTTTTATTTTTTTGGTACATACACAAAATAAACGAAAGTTATATTATAAAGAACATTTAACATTGCAATTCTCCGGCGTTTAAACAGCTCCGCGGCTCAACATCAACTGTTAATGTTCCCGCAGTTTAAAAATGGCCGAACCCGAGCTGCGCGAAGGATGCGCAGAAGTTCCCACCATAATGAGTTGCAATACGATGTACAATGGCCCCAGTTCCCGTGTAAAAACTGCAATACGCGCCTATTTCTTTCCTTGTTCTGTGGGCGCAGCTAAGCACGGTGCAGTGGATATTCCCACGTGATCCCCACCAAACTCTGGTGCAACGCGTACCCCCACCAAACTCTTCCTGTACCCCTGGGGGTACACGTACCACACTTTGGGAAACACTGGTCTAGTCTTTTATTTCCGTTTGTATATTAAAAACATTTTTACAACAAGGCCAGTAATTGAGTAATTTTTACAACAAGGATAGTATGCATTCAAATATCGTGGTTATCTAAGCTTATGTTTGGGCATTAAATGTATTCCATTCATGCCTTGTAGCTCCTTGTGCGATATGGGAGTGAAATGTCTAGGGAAAGTGAAGAAAAGCAGAACAGGATTGGTTGTTGATTACAAGGGAGACTTTCTGTGAATTTCATTGGGGCCTCTTGAGTGCTATGAAAGAAAAGCTGAGCTGAGAATGGTTTTTTCTTAAGTAACCTGACCCAGAGTTTGACTATCTGATGCCCTCTAGTCATTTTGGACTTTAATTTTCATCAGCTACAGTGGCAAGAATGTGTGAGAATTATAGTTTAGGAAAAAAAAAAAATCCCACAGTACCGTAACCTAATCTGTATTTCTACTTTTCAAATGATAATATTAAGTAATTAGCCTTCCTCCCCAAAGAGCGAGTTAGGAATAAACATCCTACAGCTACCCTGCCTACACATTTTTTTTATACAAGAAGTTTGCAAGAAGTTAATGATGATAAGGCAGCAATTGCTTTTTGTTCCAAAAGGAATATGTTGTATTCAGCTTTGGGGTAGAAGTGTGCCCGTTGAGCGCTGCACTCTTAGATCTAAGGCGTGGATTAGTGGTGCTGTATAGGGATCCACTGAGATATATATTATTTCATATGCCTTCCTTGTAACGTTCTTTGCTCTGCATAATTGTTATCTGAAGTAGATATACCATATTTTTTCGGAGTATAAGATGCAGCTTAGTTTTTGGGGAGGAAAATAGGAGGGGGGAAATCTGCCTACTAGGTATTCATCTGGCTAGCGTCCTTAGTCTGGTCAGCTTCAGCACATTAGTTTGCTGGTTTTTTATCCCCTGTTTGGGGATAAAAAACAGCTTCTAAGGCATAGCTGAGAGGAAGCAGCAATGAGAAAAGCAGGCAAAGCAAGGGGAGATCACTTCACTTGGCTAGCGCCTAGTTACAGCTGAAAAGCTAAAGAACAGCGGACAGCAGCTGAGAGTCTGAGCAAAGCAGGAAGTGGAAGATCACTTGCTAGTGCCTCATTAGCGCTTCGTTAGGGCTGGAAAAAAGCTTGGAGAAAGCTACATTCGGAGTATAAGACGCACCCAAATTTTCAGCCTCTTTAAGCGGGGAAAAAGGTGCGTCTTATACTCCGAAAAATACGGTCTTTTGAATTGCACCTATTGGAAAATTAACAGGTGCTATATTACCGGGAAAACTGTACTGTACTGTTAGAAATACAAAGTTAGAGATGAGGAGAGCAGCCCAGAATTGATCCCCCAATTTTCATAATTTCTTTCTATATTAGGTTACTAGGAAAACTGATGGTTCATAAAAAAGTTCATTCGCAATGTTGAGAAAAATGATAGTTTAATGTTTTCTATCATTTACTAATACAAGTAGTCCTGGACTTAAAAACAGTTCATTTAGTGAATGGCACTGAAAAAAGTGACATGACCGTTTTTAACAGTTACAACCATTGCAGCATCCCCATGATCATGTGATCCAAATTTAGATGCTAGGCAACTGATTCATATTTATGACCGTTGCAGTGTCCAAGGGTTATGTGATCACCTTTTGCGACCTTCTGACTAGCAAACTCAATGGGGAAGCCAGATTCACTTAACAGCCGAGTTACTAACTTAGTGACTGCGGTAATTCATTTAATAACTATGTTGAGAAAGATCGTAAAATGAGGCAAACTTAACAAATGTTTCATTTAACAACAGAAATTTTGGGCTCAGTTGTGGTCATAAATCGAGGACACCTGTAATAATAATCATTCTACACATCTATTTTAAAATTATAGTAACGCACAGGCATGGAAAATGTAGTTAGACACTTCTGAAATAAAATTATGGGGAAATACAGGTAGTCCTTGACTTAAAAGACCACAATTGAGCCTAAAATTTCTGTTGCTAAGACAGTTAAGTGAGTTTTGCCCCATTTTATGACCTTTCTTACCACAATTGTTAAGTGAATCACTGCGGTTGTTAAATTAGTCACGCGGTTGTTAAGTGAATCTGGCTTCCTCATTAACTTTTGCTTATCAGAAAATGGCAAAAGATGATCACATGACCCCAGGATGCTGTAACCGTCAAAAATATTTATTGTTTATTTATTTATTGGTTTGATTTATATGCTGCCCTTCTCCGGAGACTCAGGGCAGCTTACAATGCGTTAAGCAATAGCCTTCATACTTTTGTATATACCTGCTTAGTAGGGCTTTTGGCCCCCCTTAAGCAGTGTTCTTTTTTATACGAAGTCAGCTTATTGCCCCCACAAACCGGGTCCTCATTTTACCTACCTCGAAAGGATGGAAGGCTGAGTCAATCTTGAGCCTGATGAGATTTGAACTTGCAGTAATTGCAGGCAGCTGGTGCTACTTAACAGCACTTTAGCCTGCTGCACCACCAAGGTTCTTGGTGAGTCAAGTGTGTGAATTTTGATCACCTGACCATGGAAATGCTGCAATGGTCAAAAGTGCGAAAAACAGTGACTTTTTTCAGTGCTGTTGTAACTTTGAATTATCACTAAATGAACTGTTGTAAGTCCAGGGCTACCTGTATATATCATGTAATTTTAAATTTTGTTTATACTATATTTATCTTCAATGATAGATTTTTTTTTAAAAAAAAATGAAGCATGGGTGAAATAATAAGATTATATAACCTGTCTCTCTCCAAAAGGGATGGCAAAAAAAGTGGAAAACTGTGCTTCCTTTTAGATGTTAAGGGAAATGTAAGGTATTTTAAGAAGGAAAAATTGTATTAGAAGGAGAGGTATTGAATCCAGGGGTGCCTCTCTCCCCTGTTATTGAGAAGTCCCACCCTGCCAAAGAGATATAAAATGAAAAAAGCTTCCCACATGCTTGCTAAATACTGTCAAGGTGAAAAACTGTCTGAAGAAATTGCAATCACTTTAGGCAAGTCTCACTTTGATTCGTTGCACTTCTGAGGATTCCAACCCTTTTCATTGTGATCCAGCAGCACTGAATACTCTGTGACCTTTGTCTTAAATGTGATTTATCCTCCCAGGCCTGTCTGGTTTAATTGCAGATCTTTTGTTACTGACTTGGTTTAATGGATAGCATTTTGCAAACGGTTGAATGGTAAGAAGATTTTCTGAAAGACAAATGAAATGTGTGTAGTTGAAGCAGCCTTTCTCCAGGTTCACATCTTTTTAAAAATATGTTTGTTTCTAAGTTTTAATGTTTATTCTCTGATAAACAAATAGATACAGCAGTATGCAGATGGGGTTGAATATACTTGAGGATAAAAAAAAATTAGCGGATACATAAATTTTGTCTACAGAGAAAAGAGGTTTGCTAAGTGTGTAAGTTACATTGCAGTTTTCTGTTTCTTGGGGTGTTTTGACTTTAGTTTAGGAAAAACTATGTAATTGACATTTCAGAAATAAGAACTGTCTTCAAGGGATTCAAGCTATGATGTCTTCTTATTAATTAACCCGTGGAAGGGTGGTGAAATCCATAAGAGGGAAAAAAAACTTGTGATAGACAATTACAGCAATAATATTATCTGCATAATAAATCTAGTAATTTATCTGGACCGTCCTTGGGGTGGAGGAGGCGGGTGTCAGAAACATGAAAGTAGCAAGTGTGACAAGATGATTAAAGTCCTGTCTTTCAATGTGCACTGTGGGGCTTGGTGCTCACTTCGTGTTCTCATCCTCCATTTTGAACTTGCTGATCCTCATAGCTCTTTCTAGAGAGCCAATAGCTTTAGAGCAGGGGTCGGCAACCTTAAACACTCAAAGAACCATTTGGACGCGTCTCCCAAACAAAAGAAAACACCGGGAGCCACAAAACCCTTCCTATGCCTGACGATTTCCTGAGCGGCCACAAAACTAGCATATGTAGTTGAGTTAAGCATTCTGTTTTCTTCTGAAACTTTTCTATTCTTGGATTTATCCATGGTTGGCCTACCAGGAGTCGAAAAGCTCAATAAATCACCTGCCAGCGGGTGTTGCACATTGGTGATTGTGACGCATGTTTTGAGCGACAGGGAGCCGCAGTAGAGGGATGAAAGAGCCACATGCGGCTCCAGAGCCGCAGGTTGCTGACCCCTGCACTAGAGAGATAATAGCTAGATTTCCATTCAGGGATGCTCCATGATTAACCTGCAAACCATTCTTTTGTCTTCCAGGTGATACGGAGAAGTAGTGATGAAGAAAAATTGCTGTGCTTAGTTCGTCAGCGTGCAGGACATCACTGCCAAACTGCTGTGATTGTGATACTTATTTTGGCTTGGGAAGGGATTCCTCACCTTCTTGCTGACACATTGTACAAGGAACTGACCCAGAGTCTCAGAAAATATGGCTGTCCAACTAGTCGTAGATGTGCATTAAATGAAGAGTAAGTACGCTTTAAAATATTTTATAAGTATGAGAGTATTTTAAAATATAAAGGATGTATGAGAGACTAGTAATCAGGGTGGATTTGATTTAAATCGAGTCGATTTAAATCATGATTTAAATCACTAGTAAAAAGGCTTGATTTAAATCAACTTGATTTAAATCATAATTTTTAAAGAGCAACTGTCATCTCTGCTACTCCTTTGACCCGCTGTTGACTCACTGATAGTCCCAGTGTTGCAGAATATACAGCCTTGTGCTACATAACTAAGCTCCATTTCATGCTGAATAAACGAAATTATTTATGTATCTTAAATAGAAAACTATCTTACGATAGATTTTTACCCCAAAAGTTTTTTATTAAAATAAATTCAATAAAAATAAAAAAAAATCTGATTTAAATCAAAAAAATCCGATTTTTTGATTTTTTAAAAAAAATCATTGATTTTTATCCACCCTGCTAGTAATCTTACTTGATTGACATTCTTCTGCACTATGATCATTACACTTGAAAAAGTTACATACAATAATTTCTAATTTTTTTTAGTAGAGTGTAGATAGCATTCTGAGTATATGATGTGTTGAGAGGACCAACATGAATTTTCTCATTTTTCATGCTGGCAAAAAACAGATGATATGAAAATAGATTTTTTTTTCTTCCATTTTTAAAGAATGTCCTCATTACCCACAGCTTTCTATCTTGCTTTTGATGTCTTCTGGAGGTAATAGAATAAAGCACTTTTTTTTTTTCCTACATTTTTGTAGATGGCAAAATACAAACTCAGTATAGTTGAAACTCTTTCTTAATGTGAAGAAACAGTGTGCTGGTGTACTACTGCTTCATCGTTTCCAAATTGCCTTTTACTGATAGCTGCTGCAGTTAAACTTTACAAATTCCCTTTCAGGCTTGTTTAATATGATGCCCGAAATCAGGCTTGCATCTTATTCCTATCCTAACAAAACTTCAGTACTTTGTTCTTGGCACTCAAATCTGATTTGAGTTGGAAACCAAGCTGAAGAAACCTAATTATATGATGTGGATGTTATTCTAAATAACTCACATAAATGCATATATTCATGTGCTGACTTAAATCCTGGAAAGGTTGGTGCAAAATTTTGCATTCTAGTCAGGAAACCTTTTGATGTTCCCTTAGAATGCCCCAATTTGACGATTGCAGGAATTGAAACTTCTACAACAGGTCATTTAATCTTCTACAACAGAAACAAACTTTCTTTGTCCTAGACATGTTTGAGTCTGCCATAATAATAACAGGAACAGAGTTGGGAGGGACCTCGGAGGTCATCTAGTCCAACCCTCTGCTCACGCAGGAGACCTATACTAGGGATTTGAACCACCGAACTGCCGACCTTTCTGATCGGCAAGCTCAGCGTCTTAGCCACTGAGCCACCTAGCCAGGTTTATAATACTAGTAATACTTTAGTAATACTATCAGCTAAGCATGGAAGGCAATTTGAAGCTGCCCCAGTATTGACACAGTCAATTTTTTTTTTACATGATCCAAAATGAAAAAAATACACAGCCTCAAAGAAGTGCACTATTTATTTCTAATAAAGACAGTTAACAGTATCTAAGCAATCTGATAGCTTTACCTTTAGGCCTCTGCCTGAAGGTACTCCTTCACTTACAACAGTTCATTTAGTGACCTTTCAAAGTTACATCGGCACTGAAAAAAGTGACTTATGACCATTTTTCACACTTACAACTGTTGCAGCAGCCCTGTAGTCACATGATCAAAATTCAAACACTTGGCAACTGATTCAAATTGATGACAATTGCAGTGTTCCAGGGTCATGTGATCCTTTTTGCAACCTGATGAGCAAAGTCAACGGGGAAGCCAGATTCGCTTAACAACTATGGCAAGAAATGTCATAAAATAGGGCAAACAACTGTCCCTTAACAACTGTCTCACTTAGCAACAGAAATTTGAGGCTCAATTGCAGTTGTAAATCAAGGACTACCTTTATTTGTGTAATGGTTATAATATTACATTCAAGCTACAGAAAAATGTATTGATTATAGACAAGTTGTTGCTTCCACCCATGATTGATTAGGGAGCTATGGCTGAGGAATCTGATGTGACAGCAACATGGTATTTGGCAAAGCCCTAGAGCCTTACATGTTTAGTGACTGCCTACCCTGTGATGGAAAGAAAAAAAATAAACACTTTTGAGCCTGCAGCATGAAATTCATCAGATCTGATTGATTCTTACACTGGTCATAATCAGAAGCAGCCTATGGTCTACATGCTTTTCTTGCTCTAGTCTATTCCATTCAGAATAACACAGATTATATCTGCATCATCTAAAGCTAAGAATTCCCCAGATGTTAGCTTTCAATGTATGTGTTAGATTGACAGAGATTTGGGGCATCAATTTGCTGAAGGCGAATCTTGCCCAACTAGCTGATTACCTACCTTTCGGTTAATTTTTCTAGCCGTACTTGTGCCTGTCAAGGTCTCGATCCAGAGACATGTGGGGCATCCTTTTCATTTGGCTGTTCTTGGAGCATGTATTACAATGGCTGTAAGTTTGCCAGAAGCAAAATCCCCAGAAAATTTAGACTTCTCACAGATGATCACGCCCAAGTAAGTATTTTCTTTCCTTCTTCCATAATGCCCATTTTAAGTGCACAGGTATTATAAATGTTTAAAGCTTTTTCAGAATTCGTGGAATCACATTAGATTACATCCTTCTATGTGGCTTAGATGAGCAAGCTAAACATTACTATGAGCAAGTTCTATTCATACACAGTAAATCACTTTTACTGACTTCTCTTACATATAAATGAGCACATAAAATCTCACTTCCTGTCACCTCCAAAATGCCATGCTTTCATTCCTCTGATAACTCATAGCCATCCACCATAATTTACCAATTCGTATGCATTGAATTGAATACTTTATTTGGCCAAGTGTGATTAGACACACAAGGAATTTGTCTCCAGTGCAGAAGCTCTCAGTGTACATGCAAAGCAACAGATTAATAATAATCATAATAATAAAATTTATCAGTAAGAATACCAATAAGAGGGGGAAGTATGAAGGATAATAAGTATAAATAATAATAATAATGCTGCAACCATACTACTTGGGTAAATACATACTGACCTTGGGCAGCAGTGTGAGAATTAGTTGTTCAGCAGAGTGATGGCCCAAGGGAAAAAAACTGTCCCTGTGTCTAGTTGTTTTGGCCTGCAAAGCCCGAGGAGAGAAGTTGAAATAGTTTATGTCCAGTATGTGAGGGGTCTGCAGATATCTTGTCAGCCCTCCTCCTGACCCACACAATATAAAGGGCTTTTATGGAAGACAGGCTGGTTGCAGTTGTTCTTTCTGCAATCTTAATTATCCATTGTAATCTGTACCTGCCTGTTTAGTTGCTGCACCAAAGCAGAAAACTATAGAAATGACAGACTCAATAATTCCTCTTTAAAACTATATCAACAGCTCCAGAACTCCCTGAGTTGACACAGGAAGAATATTCCTTGTTGTGCCTTTTAATGATGGTTCTAATGTTAAGGGCCCATTTCAAGTTCTAGGAGATTATAGAACTCCAAAATTTGAAGGACTCTACTACTGATAAGGTGCTGTTGAATATGGTAAGAGGTGGTAGAATAGAAAGGCTCCTCCTAATATCCACTCTCATCTCTACAGCCTTAAGCATATTCAGCTCCAGATTGATACAGCGGCACCACAGGGCCAGTTATTCAACTTCTTGTCTATATGCAGACTGCAGACTCATAACCAACTCGAATGAGGCCAGTGACCGTTGTGTCATCTGCAAACTTCAGAACTTAACAGAGGGTTCCCTTGAGGTGCAGTCATTGGTATGGAGAGAAAAGAGCAAGGAAAAGAGCTCTTAGCCCTCAGGGCGTGCCTGTGCTCATTGCCTGGGTACTACATGTCATTTTCCTTAGCCTCACCTGTTGCTTCCTATCTGTCAAAAAAACTGACAAGTATGAGCAGGTACAGTAAGCTGGATCAATTTAGAGCAGGAGTGTCAAACTCAATTTCATTGAGGGCCGCATCAGATTTGTGTTTGATCTTGGGCCGGAGTGGGCATGGCCAGGGTGGGTGTGGCCAGCTCGACGTCACTTGTGTCGGGGGCACCTATGGTGGCCCAATGGCTCTGCCAGAGAAAACAAACTCCCGAGCTCTGTTTTCGGCTGCGACAGCCTCCTGCAACCCTCTGCCAGCGAAAACGGAGCTTGGGAGGGCCACCCACAGCCCTCTCAGGCTCCGTTTTAGGTTGTGTGGGTTTCCTACAACCCTCTACCCACAGCCTTCCTGAACTCTGTTTTCACTGGCAGAGGCACTGCAGGCCGGTCCGCTGTTTCCAGGGCAGCCCCGCAGGCTAGATCTAAGCACCTCGTGGGCCGAATCCGGCCCCCGGGTCTTGAGTTTGACACCCCTGATTTAGAGTATGTTTTTATTTTCTTTTTAAGACTGAATGCACACATTCACAGTAATGTATACATGCAATCCATTTTATAAAATGTTCCCAGATTTTAAAAATATGGAATGTTTCACAAGTGTCCGTTCTCATCATGTACACAGGTTTGCTAACTTCTAGCATACTACATACTCCTGAAGCAGGCACTTGGTTGTATAATTATTTCGGATGGTCAAAAAGTTCATAGAGCAAACAAATGAAAGTGCTTTTTGTCATTGTTTTTATTAGAACCTTCTATTTTAGCTAAATATTAAATATTGATCCATTTTACAGATGACATAAAGCTAGGAGGTATAGAATGCAAATGCAGAAGAAGATAGATTGAAAGTAAAGACAGATATGGATCATTTGAACCGCTGGACGGAGTGAGATGAGGTTAAATGTAAAGAAGTATAAAATTATGCTCTTTAGGTAAGAATAGCTTGTAGTATAGAGATAAAACTAGAAAAATATGTTGTCTAGAAAGTAGTCCAGAAGAATTTTTGGACAGGTAACACACATATGGATTTGTGCTATTGTGATTTACTTATTCTGCTCAATAGTGCTCAAGAATGAGATATAAGAATTAGCCCTCTTGCCTTTGCCCTCTTCCTGCTGTACAAAGAAGAATTTAAAGCTGCTCTTTCATTTCTGTTCTGCTTAATTATGAGTTGTTCTGCTTTTCTAGCATAACAAGTGAGTTAACCTTGACTGTGACTTGCTTATAGCATGCCAGGTTCAAAGCATTTTGTAGGATTATGGTGAGATATTTCATGGAATGAATGAATCAAATCAGCCTATAAACTACAGATTATGGTTGGTATGATTCAACAACCCACATTTACGATTATTCACAGTACAGGATCTGGATGAAACAAACTAAGCTCTCAGGTTTTTGTTCATTTGTTTTTTTATAGTAAAAGTATAACCATCTAATAAAACATATTGTTCAAGGGTTACATCCAAAACTAATAGTAAGTTATATCAGCTTGAGAAATAGGACTCCTTTGAACATTGTGCATAGGTTAAGGACTAAATCAACCTGTGATATTGTTCTGCCATTTTTTTAAATTACCTCATTATTATTTTTTTAATATAGTAGCCGTTTGTTGTCTGAATGGGTTTTGGAGTTTATTGGAGTTTGGGTTTTGAGTCTATTTATTGCAGTATTAATGGATATTACTCTGTTTTTAAATAATGGGATATTTTCCAAACCTAAACATTTATGATGTAAAAGTCTTGTTGAGTCATTCACTTCCACGGTTGAATTTATGGGTGCATTTCAAGAGTTCTTTTGGGAATAGTAGAGGAACAGTTTATCCTTCTTTTAATAATGTGTTTTCAATTTCCCAATCAATCTTACAGCCCTGGTAAGATTTCCTGATATTCTCCCGTCCAAATACTAGCCAAGTCCATTTCTACTTAGTGAGATTAGCATGCTATACCTGGGCACCTGTATGCATTGCCTGAATCTCATACTTTCTAAGGCTATTATATTGGTCTGCTAAACTGATATATTAGCTTTAACAAGTACAAAATGGGCCACCTATATGTTGTTCTGTTGTTAACCAGAAGCCTAACTTAGTAATACATTTAAAGCATTTATTGCAGTGTCCAACCTTGGCAATTTTAAGACCTGTGAATTTCAATTCCCAGAATTTCCCAGCTGGCTATGCTGGGAGTTGAAGTCCACAAGTCTTAAAGTTGCCATGGTTGGGCACCCCTGAATTATTGTTTGTTTTGTGTTTTTTTTTTCTTTTTGCCTCTTTCTTGAAAGAGCTTGATGTTTGATCTACTGAGTCCCCATTTTTTTAGACTCAAAGGGTATTTTTGAAGAAACTGTTGCTTATCTTATGTCTCCTCTCCTCTGAGGATAATAAAATAATCATCTTAGGACAGAGTAGTTATAATTACTTTTAACATATGAAAATGAACAAAAGAGAGTAAGTTTAATAGCTGTTTGTCAGTTATGTAATACATTTTAAAATTTGATACACATAGTCCTTCACCTGTGTCCATTCATTCAGTGACCATTCAAAGTTATGATGGTGCTGAACGAATGATAGTTGTGACTGATCCTCAGAGCATTTCTGACTTGCTGCTGCACCCCATGATGACACACACATCGCTGAGGTAAATCTCCCTCATCTGCACAGCCTCCTGCAGCCTTTCTGCGCCCTATCCAAACCTCACAGCCATCCTTGCACACCCTTGAGTCACACCACAACCCTGAATACCTTCCCTGACCCATGCTACACTCCCATGCACCCTCCCTCACCTGTTCCTCTCACACAACACTCAAGCCATCACACACTCACCTTAACCTTCACCATGCCTCATACCCCTGTGCACTAGCCCCACATATACTGCCTATACACAGAATTCACATTGCACCTACACACACTTCCCAAGCCTTACTGTGCCTCTCACACACATACTCACATCCTTCATGAAATTAACAGATTAACAGAGTTGGAAGGGACCTTGTAGGTCATCTAGTCCAACCCCACCATCCAAGCAAGAGACCCTATACCATTTCTGACAGATGCCAGTCCAGTCTCTTCTTGAAAGCTTCCAGTGATGAAGCTCCCACAACTTCTGAAGGCAACTTCTGTTCCATTGGTTGACTGCTCTCATCGTCAGAAGATTGTGTCACACCCCTGCATACTCTGCGTGACGCATGCCTAATCCTTGTGCACCGTCCCTGGCCTTCGTGTACTTGCCCCGAGCCATACTGTGGCTTTCAGATATCCCCTTGCACTTCTTCCCCCCACCTGTCCTTCACACTTGCACGGCCTTCCCAAGCCACATTGCACCTCTAGCACCTCCCCTCACAACCTCATACATTCTCCCGCATCCATTCTGTACCTTCCTATACCACATGTCACACACATACATTTGCACCCTTACACATTTTCCTGATCCATGCCATAGTCTCAAGCACATTCCCAGATCCATGCTATACCTCCATGCACCCTTCCTGCTCTGCCTGCCTTTCACATACCCTCTTGTATCATCACACTCTCTCCCTAAACATCACCGAGCCTGCCCTGCACCCCTCTTCCCCCACCCAGCAAGAAGTCATCACTCAAATGCCTGCTGGCCCAGGATTTGCAACTTCCTGCCAGTTTCTTCATCAATTGTATTTGTAGGATCCCAGTAGGAAGGTGTCTCACAGAACAACCATGGGATTCAGTTTACAATGGTAATTGGGACTTCAGGGATAATTGTTGCTAAGTGACATGGTCATGCTTTTATGACCACATCACTTAGCAATGGAAAATCCAGTCTCAATTGTTGTCACAAGCCAAGAACTACCTGCATTCAGTATATTGAAAGAAGAAAAGTTTCTCTTTCATTGCCAGCCTGATAGGCTTTCTAACATTGTTAATAGCTGTTGGGCTAAGAAATGGTTTCCTTACAAAGGAGAAATACATATTTTCCCCTTTGTCTGACCAACTTTTAAATATATGGATAGTTTTACTATTACAGTAGGAAACTTAAGTATCAAATATAAGATGCAATTAACGTTGCTTTTACTAATTGCTTTATTCATAAACAATACAATTATGGGGTAATTGCTTTCTCTATTTCCAGGAAGAAAATCTGGAAAACAATTTGCAGACTTTAGCTACTGATGTAGCTCCATTATATCAAAAACTTGCCCCTGATGCTTTCCACAACCAGGTAGGTTGATGAATATTTCACGTTGTCTCATCACGTCTTTTTAATGTGATAGATCAGTGACATGTCCCCAAGAGGCATTTCCTTACTAGCTGAGTCCACAGATCGCACTAAGCCCCAGTATTGTTTCTTGGATTTTAAGCAACTACATTTTGTGAATTCTTGTTTTATGATTTATAAAAAATGATTTATGGCTTCTTGTAGGAATGGACAAGTTATGGTCCCAAATCTTTGTTTCTTTTTTGCTCTTATAAGTCCTCTCGTATTTCTTTTTTGCTGTTCTTATACGCCCTCTCATATTTCTATCTTTCCATGTTTCTTGAAAACCAACAGTACCTACCGTGTTTTCCCGAAAATAAGACCCTGTCTTAACATTTTTTGAACCCCACAATAAGCCTTATTTTTGGGGAGGTCTTATTATTTTGGGGTGCGTGTTGCAAGACGGGGCTCCTCTTGCCATTTTACCTGATTTCCAGCTCTATCTCCCTAACCCTAACCAGAGGAAATGGCAGGGACCCGCTGCACATGCATTTAAATATTTTTTTGGGGGGGGAGGGCTTATTTTAGCGCATGCGCTCAAAAGCCCAATTGGGCTTATTATCAGGGGAGGTCTTATTTTCAGGGAAACATGGTATTGAGGTGGAAAACAGATAATCCCAAAATGAAATATTGTAGTTAAAACACAAAAAGCAGCCCCAAACCTCCCTTGCCTTGCCCGCATGCTTGTAATGCCTCTCTGCAAATGTTGTATCAGCTTCAAGCTTAGTGTAATATTATGTATAAATTCATCAATTGTAATGAAGTTGACAACATGCTTTACTCTGTTCCTGAAATAAGACCCTGTTGCCTTGTTTTCTAAGGTGGAGAATGAGCATCTGGGTCCTGACTGTCGCCTTGGGAGCAAGAAAGGCCGGCCTTTCTCTGGTGTGACAGCTTGCATTGATTTCTGTGCCCACGCACACAAGGATACTCACAACATGCACAATGGAAGTACTGTGGTAAGTAAAATTTGGGATGAGGTTTCCTCTTTGCCATGTAGCTGTATCATAGTTGCATGCCTTCTTTTTACTTGATTTCCTTTCTTTTTCAGTTTGGGTCCCCAAACTTGGCAATTTTAAGACTTGTGGAATTCCTCAGCCAATACAGTTTCATGACCCCTGCCATAAATGATATAAAGCGCAATGGATGTACAATAAATTATAACTTTCTTGGTTACTGAGGTTAAATATTTCTTGAGAGTTAGTTTTTGCAGTCTCATACAAAATTCACTTCTAAATCTTTAGATACACTGCCTTAAGTTGTTGGAAATAATTTATCAGGGCAGAGATGTCAGTCTCCTGAGCTTCAAGGCCAAAAAGCACAGGGCAGAAATATCATTTAAACAAGGGAAATGGGTGGGTGGGAGAAAGAAGAAGCACCTGGATCAGAATTTAATGGGAATAAAAAGGGAATTTCACTTTCATGTTGACAGAAGGCAATCAACTATTTTACGGCTTCTTCCTAGCAGGCAATAAACCTTCTTACCTAATTTATTGTATGAATTCTTAGGTCCTTAGGTTGGTTAGAGCTTAGAGTTTAGTCAAGCTGTGCCAAGTCAAGTATCCAGGAAATTCCTCAAGGTCTTAGCAGTGAGCCTTGACATTCAGCTCCCAGCCCTGAGCTACAGGAATGTTGCCTACCTTCTCCAACTGGATGGTTAGCATTTGCTGATCAATCTATTTCTTAGGGGTCTCTCCTCTCATTATGGTCAAGACCTGAAATGCAGGCCACAGTCATAGAAGCAAGAGTCAAACAGCCTTCAGTGAAAAACGTTAATGCAGGAATTAGGGGCAGGATACTGAGTCTTGAGGACTGTGATAGGACCCTCCAGCCCTCTGTTATAAATGAGTGCATTAAAAAGAAATCTCTTCGAATGTTTGAATCTCTTGTCCTTCCCTGAACTTTTGTGCAGCCTGGACTGATCTTCGTGAGATAAGCTACTTAGCAGGCTTGTGATTTGAAGAATGGAGGAATGTTGGGGAGGAAGAAATGACACATCCAGCCTTTTGTCTACCATTATAGTAAAGGACAGATTTGGCCTGGGATCAAGTCCCAGATGTCTTGCCTACTTCCTCATCCCTCCCCTAAGCTGCCTTTGCATTTTCCCCTTAGAATAATTTCCTCTTTAAGGATTACTGTTCTGATCTAGGCTTCACCAAATCACGAAACAGACTCTTTCTCCCGAAAAACCCCTTTTTATTCGGCTAATGTGAATTCCTAGCATTCACATCCAGCAAAGTCCCGGCAAACAGTCTTTCAAGGGTGAATTGCAACCACAGACCTTATCAGTCCTTGGATAGTTGCCAGGCCAATAGCTTCCAGGCACAACGCTGTACAATGAAATACTTGGCAAGGAGTCTCTGTGAGGCACGAACTCAGATAAGCAAATACACACTAATTCACTAATTGTCACTATTATTCATTATTCACACTAATAAACTAAACTAATTGTCTCCTGCAAACACCACTCCCCTTTTGCTCCTATTTTATTCCTTATGGGAGGGGCCATTCAGCATCCCCTTGTGCCTTTACTCCTGAGTCGACCCCTGTTCCTTAATTGTTCCCTTCTCCTGACAGCTCTGCGCGTGCACACATCGGGAACAGGCTCCAGCTGTTCTGCCCCACTTATCTCTGACTCAGAAGGTAGCTGATAACTGTTGGACGGCCCTGGGCCCATCTCTGCCTCTGACACAGAGCACTCATCAGAGCCTTCCCCAGACTCCAGGACCGGCCCATGTTTCTCCCCAACCTCCTCACTGTCCGAGTCTGCTGCCAGCTCTGCTGGCAGGCCATAAAAATTATGCTACTCCAGGCAGCACCAATGCCTCCTTAATTGCCGTTTATGGGGCAGAACTCAGGACTTGTCAGCCTAGGAGGAGCTTGGGATGCACCAAATTCTTGTATTCCATACAGGGACTCCAGGTTTGGTCAGTTTGGTTTCCATTGGGCTACCAAACCAGCTTGATGCATTATTCTTTAGTTTTAAGAAGTAGAACTGTAATCCTTTGCCTTTTCAGAATTGCCATCACAATTATTTGCTTTTGAGTTCAGCGGCATAAGGGAGCCCAGTCAAGACAAGGCCTGTTGGACCAGTTAACTCTCACCATTTTTCTCACAAATGTGTGTTTTTAGTCACACCATTCAGCAGGAAATCTTGCATTAAATGCCCTGTGTTATCTGAGCTTCTGTAGGTAAGGAATTTCTCTTTCACAGTATAGGCTAGTTCAGTGTTGGTGAACCTTTTCGGCACCAAGTGCCAAAATGGGAGTGCGCACGCGTGCAGGGGAGCACCAAAATTTAATTTAATTTAATTTAATTTTAATTAATTCAATTTATATGCCGCCCCTCTCCGAAGACTCAGGGTGGCTCACAATACATTTTAAAAAATCATTATAAAAAGCATTTAAAAATTAAAAACATTAAAAACTCATTCACGCCATTCATGGCCGGATCTCGCCAGATCACAAGAGCGAGATCAACGGCCCCAGGCCTGCCGGAAAAACTGGAAGAGCAGCTCCCTGGTACGCACACGGGAATGCCAGATACCAGAAGAGGAGCTTCCGGTATCTGGCATGCATGTGTGTGCGAAGACCAGCTGGTCGCCGCCTATGCGTTTGCCGGAAACTGGAAGCTCAGGGAGCTGGTCTTCTAGTTTCCGGCACTCACGCACATCCGAAGACCAGCTGGAAGAGCAATGGGAGATGGCTGGCGTGCTCAGAGAGATGGCTCTGTGTGCCGCCTCGGCACGCATGCCACAGGTTCACCATCATAGGGCTAGTTTAAGACAATGCAACTTTCCCCAGCTCTTCAATTGTGTTAGGTAGTGTACCAGGACTGTCACCCAGCACAGGATTTGGGGAATTGTAGCCCAGCATCTGAAGAGTGCCAGGTAAAGGATGGCTGGCTTTTGGTGATCCTGTTGAGGCATATTCCTTCTTTATGATCAAACCAATCTCTCTTTGTATTGTTTCCTAAAAAAACAGAACTCTGTTTCTCATCTCTTCAATTTAGGTTGAAGAAATGTTCTGCTAAAGTTAGCAAATATATTTTTCATGAGATCTTTATTGGATTGTACTCTTAATGTCATGCTGCATAAATTATATACCTATTGTTCATGTATAAGAAACAAACTATATATAAATAGTTCACAACCGCAATTGAGCCCCAAATTTCTGTTGCCAATCAAGACAGTTTTTGTTTTGCCCCATTTTACGACTTTTCTTGCCACACTTGTTAAGTGAATCACTGCAGTTGTTAAGTTAGTAACATGGTTGTTAAGTGAATCTGGCTTCCCCGTTGACTTTGCTTCTCAGAAGATTGCAAAATGACCCCAGGAAACTGCAGTCATCATAAATCCATGCCAGTTGCCAAGCGTCCAAATTTTGATCACTTGACCAATGGGACGCTGCAGCAGTTATAAGTTTGAAAAATGGTCATAAGTCACTTTTTTCAGTGCTGTTGCAACTTTGGTCACTAAATGAATGACTGTAAGACGAGAACCTTCTCTGTGCTAGTTTAGTTGTGTTTTACGTGTAACATAAATAAAACCATGATAAGAAAGTTGAAATAGATTGTCTTTGCAATCTTTTAACTTAAATATTCACTTATTATAGTTTTCACTGAAGTTGATTAAGTGTGTTTTTCTGTGTGTATAATATATATGTATTAATAGTTGCTTTTTTCCCTTTCTGACTAGGTTTGTACTTTAACAAAAGAAGACAACCGTACAGTAGGTGTGATACCAAATGATGAGCAGCTTCATGTGTTGCCTCTTTACAAAATATCACAAACAGATGAATTTGGCACAGAAGAGGGGCTGGAAGCCAAGATTAAAACTGGGGCAATCCAGGTGCTAACTGCTTTCCCCCGAGAAGTGAGGATGTTAGCTGAACCACGTAGGGCAACCAAGAAAAAACCAGATGCAAAAAAGCAAAGTTTAGCTGAAAAAAAGCATTCTGCGGCTGTAAGGGGAAAAAATGGACTGCCAGAAAATACCAAGAGAGCATCACAAAATTCAGGTAGGTACAAGAGAGCTAGATATGGGCATGTTATAGAACAGGGGTGTCAAACTCGATTTCATTGAGGACCGCATCAGGGTTTTGTTTGACCTTGGGTGGGCATGGCTGGGCTGGGCTCCTGGGCTCCATTTTCAGCTGCGATAGCCTCCTGCAACCCTCTGCCAGCGAAAAACGGAGCTCGGAGGGCCACGGGCTCTGCTTTCACTGGCAGAGCATCATGGACCGTTCCTTCGCTGTTTCCAGGGCAGCCCTGTGGGTCAGATCTAAGACTCAGTGGGCCGGATCCGGCCCCCGGGCCTTGAATTTTACGCATTTGTGTGTCTAAAATGCAAAGTATCAAAAATGGAACAACGTAAACATATATACAGGTAGTCCTGGACGTATGACCACAAAAATTTCTGTTGCTTAACAAGGCAGTTGTTAAGTGAGCTTGGCCCCATTTTATGATATTTTTTGCCACAGTTATGAAGCAAATCACTACAGTTGTTAAGTGTATTGTGTCATTAAAGAGTGCAAGAGTACTGTTATAATTTTGAACATTCGCTAACTGAACTGTTATAAGTCGAGGATTACCTGTACCTAGTTGAGGACTATCTGTATTATGCCTAGCATAAAAATACCATTTGGTTTAAATATGTGATGGCAGGCAAAGTTTTAAGCATCTTCATTTTCTCGAAAAGAATTTCTAACTTGGATAAAGATATACTTGAAAATATGATGGCAAATGTGTCGCCAAACTGCAACATGTCTGCACTGTGGAGGAATTAAAATGGATGGGTGAAACATGTATGTATTTATCAAACATCTGTGAGGGGGGGGGAAACCAGAACTTTATATTTAAAATCAGCTTACTTTTTTTTTTCTCCTTAGGGGCCAAAATGAATATAGTGCAACCTGAGACAAAAATGGAGACAGCTGAATACTTTCCTAGCATAAAACCTAATTTAGGCATTACTACCGATTGTTCTCCGTTGAAGCAACATGCTCCATCCTCTCCTTTAAAACTGGATAGTTTATCCTCTTGCTCTCCATTAAGTGGTGGTCTAATGCCAGTAACTAATAGCCAAGATGTTTCTACTCCCTACGGGTATTTACAATGCAGTAGTAATAAACCTCACGTGACATCCCAAGGTAACAATAACTTTGACATGTCCACTCGTGATTATACTGGAATTGTGATGGATGAGAAGAGAAACGGTGTGCCTCTGCTTCTTCAAGACTTGACTACGTCTAGGTCAGCAGTCAACAGAGAGAATCTGCCCCTGACCACTGAACACAAACTAGTTAACAAGCAAAATTGTGAAGTTAACTTGAAGTCCTCTTCTGTGTCCCAGGTAGCTAGCTCTTGTGAGTCAATGTTGCAACTGGGCACCCCAGAAGATGTCTCTACCAATGGTTCTTCCCAAGAGCACCCAATGCAAATGAGTGGATTACGGCAAAGCCCAAGTTGTGTAGAAAACGGGTCCAGTGGCCAGCTCTTAAAACACGCAGATTCTGAAGAAAAAGCAGAAGAAATGTGGTCTGACAGCGAGCATAACTTTTTAGACAATGACATTGGTGGGGTAGCTGTAGCACCATCCCATGGTTCCATCTTAATTGAATGTGCACGGCGCGAACTTCATGCCACCACGCCTCTTAAAAAGCCCAACAGGAATCATCCCACGCGGATCTCTCTAGTCTTTTACCAACACAAAAACTTAAATGAGCCAAAACATGGGATAGCCCTGTGGGAGGCCAAAATGGCAGAGAGAGCAAAAGAGAAAGAAGCTAGAAAATCAGGAACTGAAACCACCGGCTTGCCAGCCACTGACAAGAATGCAAATCAGACCAATGCAACCCAAGAAATTTTCTACAAAGAAAATGAATTCAACCAAATTCCATCTCGCAGAGCATTAACAGTAACTCATGATAATATTCTAACGGTGTCTACTTATGCCCTCACACGAGTTGCAGGGCCCTACAACCATTGGGCATAAGCTCTTATAGCAACGACACAACTTTTGCCTTGGAGCAGTGTTACACAATCCTAAAGGTGCTGTTAAAGAACAAAGTCTCGTATGGTTTACTCTTTGTTCATCTCAACCATTTTGAAGGCTGAGGTAAAAATTATTTTGTTTTTAAACTGTGACTTTATATATTTTAACATCTGGTGATTCTCAAGTGTGTGTGTATATATATATGTGCATGTGTATTCACACGCATGCACACGAACACACACACATCTTTTAAGAAAATTTGGCTAGGTTATTAACTGATTGAATTACTTGGTTTATTACCTTTTTGGAATTTATACTTTGGTGCTTTGAAACGTCTGTTTATTATAAATGGGCTTTTCATAAAGATTTTAACTGATTTCATCTTTTATTATGTAAAATCAAATTAGACAGTATTAGCTATACACAGCTCTTGGTGCTTAATCATATTGAACAGTTAAAAATAAGCTGATTTTATTTCTTCATGGTGCCATTGCTCTTACAGCTTCCAATCACTTGCTGTGAATCCCAGCTTAAGGAAAAAGAACCAATGATGATTTATTTGTATATAGATTTTTCTCATGTATGTATAGTTTGTGTGTGCATGTGTGTATGATCCACATACATTCACATGCAAACAAATATCACTAGTAATGATTGGAGGTTATAAATGTAAATACATATAAATATATATATTTAAAAGCACTTTCTATTTTTAAAGTTAACTTGAAATAGTATAAGGATCACATTTGTCTAAGGTTTGCGCATTCTCTACCAAGGAATTTATTTTTTCTTACTATATAAAGTTCCATATTGCTACATCAATTCATAGATATTGAAAATACTTGGGTTTTAGATTCTTCCCTTCTCTTTTTTCCATTGCTTTTGTTTCTAAATAAATAGGGTGATAAAAGTCCAGAAAATTCATTATTTGCAAATACAAATTAAGTCCTTTATCTATCCTTGTATTTGTAGGATCTTTTTTAAAAAAAGAGTTTATAATTTGAGCAATAAGGGCAAATGTTATAGGGGGCATTCCATGTTTTTTGGGACAATACAATCGGGCATCATCCAGGGGTGTAGCTCCGTACATCTTGAAGTCACCCTATTAGGAAAGAATTTTTCTAGGGCTTCAATGCATAAATTGCAATGCCTTGTTAACATGTTGGGTTTTAAGAGATCTGCCCTATCAGCAGTGTAGGAATACATCTGAATTTATTATGCATCCAAAATGTTCTTCAGTGGCGAGCTGCCCATCAGCCTGGTCTAGGCAGGTTTACTTGAAGCTCAATCCCATTGTGTTCAGTGGGCTTTCTGCCAAGTAAGTGGACAACTGATTATTATATGCAGTTTTTTCCTCTCCTTCACCTCTGAATAAGACACACTGAGATATCCAAGTGATTAATTCCACAAAACGTGCATAGTTCCCCATCCCATTTGCTATCTCCAGCCAGGAAATAAGGTCTGTAATGGGCAGTGGTCTGTGTTGGAGACCCATCCAGAATACAGTGTCTGACTTCTTGGTGGCAAAATAACCATGTAACAACACGCCATTTCCTCTTTGCAGCATACTTTTTTTCTGAATGGTAACCCATGCAGCATTACAGGCTCAGAGAGTTTGCAAATGTTTTCCAACCTGGGAACACTGTTCCAGCTTGCACTTCATGTGCCGGAGTTTGTTAATTGAACTACTAAGTGCAATGGCTGGATTGATCAACTCAGGTTTTTGTTTCAGTCAAGAACCAGGGAAGGCAACTGCCAAGCAAGGTATAGTCAGTCTAAATGGGCATTTGATTAAAGGGATTGAGTTGTGCAAGGCAGAGTTCCATTTTGCAGACAGAACTTAACTAGATTGAAGTTCCCAGTTCAATACTAGAGGCAGAATGATGTCTTCCAGCAGACCTGAAAGCTGCCAACTAGCAACAGATATAACCACGGCTGGGTTTTCCCAACATCTTTTGTTATTTAGCACCTTTTATTTGGAGCGGCCACATCCTTTGTTTAACAGAAGCAGCATTAAAATGATCCAGTGCTCACAGAGCTTTAATATTAAATACTGAAAATCTCAAATGTGATACAACAGCATCTGTGTGATCAAAACAGCTTTTGTCAGTTCCAATGAGAAGCAGAACTATTAAAATACAGCTCAGGACTTCGGGCAGCTAGAATCAGGAGAATTTGGTATATTTGGAATGAAGAAAAGGGAAGAAGAAATTAAGTAAGAAGATCATATTTTTAGGCAACTGGATGCCAGGGATTTTATCAGTCTTAATTAATTCCATGATCTAAATTACATAATATTATTGAAGTTAAACCAGTGAGTATGACCAGTCCCAATTTGAGTAGGGCTGAGTGTGGATGGGAACCAGACCTTGATTCAAAATAATAAATTAATTAAATCACCTAGCATCCATTTGTCCTAATGACAGCATCTTAATTTTAAACATTATGGGACTTTCTCAGGCTTTTCTTTTTCTATGATGTGGTAATTTAAATTAGCCAGTTGCTATCATATTATGAGCCTCTGTGAGTAAACGCAACCTGTAGTTTATATACAAGAATGAAGCTATTTACTAATAATCCAATTTAATCAGGGCAGTCATGAAGTTAAGTCTTGATTTTACATCTCTCTCTCCTCCTTCTCCTGCTCCATGATGTACATAAGTGCCACCAGAATAACCAGAAATAAAAGATTTGTGATAACATACTTGATAACATCTTATAGTGGTGCTGTAACAAATAAATTTCTAGATCTGCTTTTTTAATAAAATCTAGACATGGTGCTTTTATTATTAAATGTCTACCCTTGTATTTAATCTGAAAATATAATTCAGAAACGAAGAAATTGATTTATATAGCTTGTCCCAGCTTTCTCCAAAGAATTTGTTGAATGGCGGTCTATTGGAGTGGAAGTAAAAAAAATATTAAGGCAGTAAGTTGGGGAAAACTGGTTTATTCTTTGTCACCTATGATTCTGAAGTTCAGAATGTGGAATTTATTTCAGTTACTCACATAGTCCATTTGTGTAACATTAGACATTCACACTGGTCTAAGGCTTCAAGACATCCACACTTCCACCTCCACTTCATCCATGCAAATGGGCGATTACCCATATTTTTATCTAGCAGTACAAATACATTTTTAGGCAAAGTGAAGATAAAAACAGCATGTTTGAATGCTGCTGGATGTCTGTCCCTTCTCCATCTCTGATTTAATAGGTGATAGATGCCATTATTGGTGACGCTGATCATGTTAAATGATATGTATGTATGTCAGGCAAGACTGGTGCTGGATATCTTTATGTTTCCTGGCGCATTTCCACTTTTGACAGCTGAATACACACAGACAAATTTCAGCTTGCAGGCGCTCTAGATATTAGAGAAATTTTCCTAAGTTACTGAGTATTAAGATTTAGAGATGTTTTACTAAAGTAAGGAGTGTGCAATCCAGCCAATTTCCCTGATTTTGGGGAGGGCTGAGAAAGTTCAACCTGTTATGATCTATAATTTTACAAAGAGGTACCCCCAGAATATCATCAAACATGGCTTACAAACTTAATTTTAGATCAGATCTTCATACTTAGTCACAATACCATTAGCAATCTTTATGCAACAGCTTATTGAACAACCTGGGTCATAACATTTTAGAAAAGTATATAAAGAGAAAAACAACCCAATCTTTCTATTTTTAAAACAAACTTTGTAAAAAAAACCCACACACTCATATGCTGCATTTTTCTTAGTTCAAAGATTATGATTAGTTCAGATAGAGACTATGTAACAATTGTAAATAATAAAAGTCAATATTATATCATTTTCTACCAGCAGTTTTCTGCTTCTTGGATATATACATTAATTGGTATGGTAATTTTGTGTGCCTTAGATTTACATTTTAAGAACTGTATATTTTTTGTGAACCTGAAATTTATTAAACATAATAGCTGTCATGACAATAAGTAGGGTGAAATCATCCAGCAACTCATCTGTACTGTTTTTTTCTAATTTAATCATGCTTTCTAGTAATTCTGAGGGGTGGGGGGGAAATCCTGGGATAATCCTTCACTGTGTATGTGGAAAACATCTACACTTCATCCTAGTTTTGCTCAACCCCACTGTCAGTTTTAATTTCTAGTTGTATGCCTTTTAGTTTGCCAATCTGTTTATGCTTATAATAAGTCCCATTGAACATGATGGGTTGATTTATGAATGAATGAATGTATGTAGGATGGTATTGTTACCACTTGACATTTATGGGGCATACACTACTAATAAACTATTTAGGATTAAATTCCTTTTGATTCCTTTTATATAGATACTACAGCAGAAAATTCAGATTGTGGCAATAGTAGAAAAATAAAGTTGACTTAAATTATGAAAATTTGGCATTTCTAAGTAGAAGATCTCTAATTACTGTGCTTGAGTAATTTAGTGTTTTCCCCTGTGTACCTATAAAAAATGTACTGCTATATTTGCTAGCAGATAGCAGCGCTTAAACAACAATGCTCAATAGGGAAACCACATATGTCCACCTAATCAGACAGCAAGGAATATAATCTATTACTTGGAAATCTACTGATGAGGTTGCATAGGGCATATTTGCATAGAATGAATTAAAGGTGGAAATGCATGATTGTTTTTAACAGCTAATAAATGTTTCATTAGCTAAATCAGGTTACCCAAACATTGAAAACATACCTCTGAAATTAAGAAATATTGTTAAACTTTTGTCTGGGTTCAGCCATATATTTTAACTATCATAAATTTGTAAAAACAATACAGCTTACAAAATGATGGTTGCATCTAAAAAGTAACGTTTCTCATTGTAATATCTCACTTAATTGCTGTTTTACAAGCCAACATACATCAAGCATGCATGCAGAGTGAGAATATACTGTATATACAGCTGTAAGTTATTTATTGTAGCATTTCAAATATTTATCATAGACACTGATGTACTTTGTGAATTAGTTTGTAGCAGCAAAGATTTATGATAACTTTGCCTACTTTGTAAGAGCAATTCCTTGGGCAGTTGCAAGCAGCAAAATTTTCAGGCACCTGCAGTAGCCTGAAGAATTGTATGGTCTAAGGTTCAGTGTGGCTGTCTGGAGTTGCCAGAGACCCAGAAAGGAAATAAAATGCATAGTTTTCAAGATTTTATTGAAATAAGACTCTATTGATGAAATTGTCTGTAAAGAATACATCTGAGGCATCTAATGATTTTGGTCCTGTGATGAATGCAGGAGTGTTACTTAAATTTGACAACAACCATTTCAGACATTCAGTGTGTGACCCTTCAAAATGAGAAATATCAAAGCAGTTAATTGTCAGAACATACTAACATGTCATTAAAAGTGCTATATTAAAAAAAAAAGATTTTAAAAAACCCAGGAGTTACAGCAACATCTCTAAAGCAGGAATTTTCAAACTTTGTAGTGCCATGTATTCAGAATCTGCATTAAATAATATAAATTAACAAATTGAAACCCTTGGAAAAATGTAGTGATTGTGGCTGACAGAAAAATATCTCCCACATAAAAAACTCCCTTTGAAGAGAATGAATTTCTTGATAATAAGATGTTGCGATATTTGCTCCAAGTTGCTTTAATGAAGAGGTAAGGAGAAATATCCTGAAATCCTTGAGCAAGCATGATGAAAATACAAATGCTTGAAGAAAACATTTCCCCCTTTTTAATTTCCTATATACTATATAGATGGTTGAAGCAATTTGAAAGCCTTCAAAAGTTAAGAGCCATCAACTGCAATCCTAAACTCGCTAGCCACACTTCTGAGTAGAACATGTTGACTTAATGCAATGTTATACATAGAAACATCAGTTACATGTATCAAGATCTTCTAAATAGGAAACCATAGAAGGTAGAATTTTCCTTAGGAGCTTAAACATTCTTTGCAGCCAGATAGAACTTTGTGTAGATGACTTGTTGTTTCAAATATTGGGATGACCCTAACAGGCATAGAGTCTATTGCATCCTTTACAGACTTGTCACTAAGGTACACTTAGACGAATGTGACAGCTTGTTAAATCCCTCCGTTGAAATAGTTTTTGTTCTTACTGCTTTTCGAGTTATTTCCACCTATCCTGCTGCATCTTTTCCATTCTGCTTAGAAGTATCCTTGCAACAGGCAAGAATGTTTTCTGGGGTAGTGTTTCCAAAAATCATTAGATATAGACATACAGTTGTGTATCCTATGTATTAAATACCTGTTCTTCTTTAACTTCATTTTGGTACATTATTTCTAAAGAAACAAACTTAAAGCATTATAAACTTACAGATTATTGTCTAAATTCACCCATGCATTAAGAGTCTCAGCAGTCTCTACAATTACTGTGTATTATCTACTTTCAAATTTATTTTGACCTTCATGATCTCAGTCTAATAAAATACACCAGTTAAAAACTAAGGATCAATGGAGTTTCAGTTAACCCTGGCAATGACTGCCTTGAGAGGAAAACATAATCTGGATCCAGCTCTGGATCGGATCTACGGTAATATGTTATTTGTTTTCAGCAGCTTCCATTGTTTGAAGACCCCAGCTTTTCTCTCTTTGTTAGGGAAATAGTACCATTTGTTTGGCCCTTCAAATGTTAGATTTCAGTTTTCATCATTAAGCCAAACTAGAATGTAGTTTGTAGATATGTAGATAGAAAAGCTGCTTCTACCCCATCAATACATTCTTCAAGAGGTATACAAATACCTCTTGAAGAATGTATACAAATTTAAAAAATAAATAAATAAATAAATAAATAAGAGCACACCATTATATTATTAATTACATTCAGATGTAATCATTTCCTTTTGAGCCTTGTCATTCAGTTATGCAATGTGTTTCTTATGGCCCCATTAAATAACACAGTGACATTGATTAACTGAATTCATATTCACAACTGTAGTGACAAATCCATTGTCATATGTACATTTACTCACAGAACAGGACTTTGCACTTCACTATTTCCCTGAATTTATTTTAGGTTGTCCTCTAACACACACACACACACACACACCGAGCAGATTTGAGGCTTAGGAAAAGTCAGAGTGAAGGGGAACAAATTGTTCTCTTCACTCGCTGACCCAAAGCTTTGCTGATATTTGAAGAGATTAAGTGGTTAGAACAGATGAAATACTGACTGTGTGAGTGTACAAAATCCTTGCTTGTTTTGAAAGAAGAACATTTGGAGTCCTTGGAAAGTATACTTTCACCCTCTTTTTTCAAATTAAAGGCTATGCACCTGGATTCTCTTATTTTTCTTATATGCCTTAACAGTATGAGCAGTAAAATACTTGTTTTACTAATGTTTTACATCCAAGGTTGAAGAAGAATATATTCATATTAAAACTGGGTGAATGTGTGCCAGGGAAGATAAAATTGTATACACTTGTTATGGTAGTGCACAAATAAAAGCATAATAGAATAGCAAAGCTCCATTGCTTCTACTGCATAGGGGTATGCACTGAAAGGATGAGAGTGAACCAAACCAGGGTGGAAATTTGAAATTGAAAAGCTAACAGAAAGGCCATTCCCTATTACATGGAGAAAAATGGGGTGTTAAAAAGTTAATATATCTGCTTTTTCTCAGTAGCACTGGGGCAGCTATATTCCTTTATCCAGAAATATTTCTCAGTTGGCAGTTGAGGAACATTTTAAACAGCAAAGGAGACTCCCCCCCCACCATTCCATAAATTGAATGAAAGTAGATTATCAACTAACAAAAGTACTCTACGTGCCAAAACAAATAAAATTTTATCCTTTCGTTGGACATAACTTCATAGGGATGTTCCTTCCAAATTACCTGTACAGCTACAGATAATTGTAATTTTAAACCTATTACCTATAGACCCCCATTTTGCTATTGACATAACTTCATCAACTATCAAGAACCGTATAGCTGCAAATCAATTTAGGGCAGTATGATCATAATTCCATGTTACCGTAACACAAAAAACAATTTGCATATACAGTAATTTACTACAATTCATGTAAGCCTAAGAACATACAATTTTCATTTATAAGCATCAGTTATCTTTATCAAATTTCCAGGTCACTATAACAGATACCTACTGTATAACATTTCCGTCTTAACATCCAGTTTGAAGGTTTCTGGTATGATTGCAATGCTGAAATAATATAAGAAGTCAAATGTGCAATCCATAAGGGATCACTTTCCTTGGTGGTTTTAGTTCCCATCTCTTATATATTAAATAGAGTGCTCCCTCCTTGTGAAAATTAAAGAGATTAAAATCAACAACTCAAAACATAGGTTTATTACTACAGACACATGATAGTCTGCTTTGCCGACAGAACGAATGTGATAATTGATTTGTATACAAGATTGTTAATTAAACCATACCAGTAGAATGTGGAATTTTGATGAAATGCATATGCCAATAATGTCTTCTTGATTATATTTCCAAATTATTATTTTTTAAAAAATAGGATTTATTTAAAATTGGCGTCACATTGCTGTCACGTGACGTATCACATTTTCCCTCCACGGACTTGGGGTAGGCGTGGCCTGCGCATGACGCATCCAGCCTGTGGGCCGCCAGTTTGACACCCCTGATTTATATTATTTAATTCATGCCCCATTGTGGTAAAGGTTAAAAAGAAAGTATCTTCCATGTTATTCAGCCACTGATTTCATATGAGGTTAATAACAATACATATCTATACATACATGTATAGGTATAAGTTTCTTCTGTCCCTCCAGACAGCAAATCATGAAATAATTGTGATCTGTCCTAAAAAGCAAAATATTGCTGATGAAGGATTGCTCCAAAATTTTTGTATATTCAGGTATAAGCCTCTCGCATGAAGCTTGTTTATGTATTACTCCATGGCTCAATTCTGGGGGAATTCTATGTTATACAATTAATAATGGACCCAACTCTCACTTTGACTTTCGCATAACTGCTTCTGCATGTAACCATCATATGTAATGTTCCAAGTATACAAAATAAAGCAGAATCATACTCTTGTTAACAGGAGTTTCATCTTAGTAAATATATTCTTGCTGAAAGTAGAATTAAAACTTGTACAGTAGTGGCCTAGATTTGCAAGTACAAGCTCATTTAGTTGAATGGTTTCTGAGACAACTGAAATCTTTCACTGGTCAAAGTTCATTTGAAAAAGGAATACAAGATTAGAGTGGTATGTAGTTATAAAAAGTACGTGCTTTATAATGAGGTAGTGCCTATAATTAGGTTCCTGCTATAATTCCCATATGTCATAAAAGCTTTACATGGCAAAAATGCAAAACTAGAATAAAGTGTGAATGTCATTTAATCGTTTTAGCAAAAGATGGCAGATTTGAAGCTTTGTATTTTATGTCCTTTAATGCTGAATGTATTTGTTGCCTAAGACTCAAAACAGGAATATGTTGGTCATGCTTTGTAATATATGCATTATCATTACAAGGAAATATTTTGTTCTTAGGTTTTTTAAAAAAATCATATTTCAAGATATTGGAAAGCTTTTTTTAAAAAAAAATCAAATGGTGGTGTATTTCAGAAGTAAGGCTATTATCTAGAGCAGGGTTTCTCAACCTTGGTGGCTTTTGAGATGTAAAACCGCTAAGGTTGATAAACACTGTTCCAGAGAGGTAAGGGAAGCAAAGCTGTTCAAGTTTCAGAAACTGTTGAGCATAAAAAGAGGTTCACTGGATTGTATTTCGAGTAATCTGAACTAAATGTGCAGTCTGGAAACTGTAGTGACAAACAGCCAAATAAAAGCATATTTAAGCAAAATGTGCTTCTGAATTCAGTGGGGCTTAATAATTCTCAAGGGAGTATGGTTAAGAACGCAGCTATGCGATTGGAGCTGCTACATTAAGATTCCCCAGACCAAGGACTGGTATCAGGTCCATGGCTTGTTAGGAACTGGGCCACACAGCTGGAAGTGAATGGCGAGCGAGTGAGCGAGCAAAACCAAAACCCAACCCAACCCAACCCCCCCCCCCAGTCCGTGGAAAAATGGTCTTCCATGAAACTGGTCCCCCATTTCAAAAAGGTGGTGCTACATGTTTACACACAGATAAATCCCCACAGGTTCAGTGAGATTCACACTGGAGTAATTGTCCATAGGATTCCACTTTGTATCTGTAAATGAAGTTGGGCTTGCGTATATCTAGTTAAGAGGTATTCCGCATTAAGATCTGTGAGGGGGAATCTTAAAAGTGTTTAATGAAGGATTTAGTTTGACTCACTTTCTAATTGAAATGCTCTCTTAATAAAAGTGCATAGGATCAAGGTGTGTGTCCCTTTGATTTCAACTGAATTTAGCTGTGACTAATCTTTGCTAGACTGTCTCTAAATGTAAACTGGTATCAATGGCACGAGCAGTAACTTCAGTTCTAATAACGTTTAAAAAATTAAATTGAAAGTTTTAAGCTGAATAAGAAAAAACTTGAGGTCTGCTGTTGAGTAATATTTCTTGTATTTGTGTGTGTTTAGTATGTGTGTTTAATAAAACGGGGGTGCATATTTATTTTTTATCATTTAACTTAGACTTTGATGATTTTTTTCCTTTAAACAATCTACTATATTAAGAAGATCTAATGGTGGAAAAATGAAATGGCAGACACATTTTTAACATTTACCATTATATTTAGTTAATAAATGGAAGAAAAGCACTTCACTATTTCACAAAACTTACAGGAAAAAGAAACTATTTCATTACTCTGGGAAAGAAATACATTTTCAGACAAGGGAACATTTACCAGCAGTACTTGAAAAGTGTGAGTTTTGACTGCATGTTACTTGAAAGATCATACTAAGCTACTCTTTGGTGCACAGCAGTTGTATATGATTTCTTGTTTATGTAGCAAGATGCATTGAAATTGTATTGAAACATACATGTAAGAATTGTTATTGTGGAGATGGTTTGTTCTGTTTTTTATTCTTGTGTATGTCCTATCTGTTTAAACCTTAAATGTTTCTTTAAAAATGACCTAAAAAGGCAAGATAAAGTTGCTGTCATTGCGAAACGTATTTTAATTTTTTGTCATGGCTTTTTCCAAAAACAAAATTACAAACTGTATCATTCCTGATAATGCAGAACATTGTGGATGGTTTCAAATAAATTTTATACTTCTATTTTGCATGTGGTTTTTAATTTTTCCTTCATTTAGAGGCCACTTCTTTCTACTAAAGAAATATATCTAAAATCATGTTCGAATCAGTGGAACAAAATGAAACTTAGCAATAGCATTACATTCTCTTTGATTCATTATTATTGTTCTTTGAATCCTATTCATAGACTGGTGATCTGGAGGAATTAAATGGTGCAAGTGGTTAATTCTGTATTTAATTGCTAATTATGATTTCTTTGGTTCAGATCTCTGTTTAAAGAATGGGCCAGTTAGGTTTGGTCAGCTGGGAACACTGGTACTAAGGATCTTATTGTATCTAGCCAAACTACTCACAAATTCTATATATTAACATGAACGTATGAATCTCAGTCACTTTCAAATACAAATGATGCCAGAACAAGAATAGAGCTCTGGCAGTGGTGGGATCCTACCGGTTTAACAACTGGTTCGCTGAGCACGCGCAGTTTCAAGAAAAGTCACCTTCTGCATTGCAGCCTGCGAGGAAAACAGCTGAGACGCCGCAATTCACTCTGCCGCGCCGATCAGCTGGGCTTTGGAAATGGAAATATAGGTGAGTATAACAAACATACCTGTTTTCCTGGTGGGTCCCATCTAGACTCCAACTTCCTTAACTTTTGGGGATCAACACACAATAGTACAGTAGTATGTGCTGATAGTCGAGGTAGTCCTCTACTTACTGATGTCACAATTGAGCCGAAAATTGCTAAGAAATTAGCAAAGTTTCTAATTGCTGTTGCTAATTAAGACAAGTGAATTTTACCTCATTTTAATGACCTTGCTTGTCATAGGTGTTAGTGAATCACTGTAGTTGTTAAGTTCATAACATGGTTGTTAAGCGAATCTGACTTCCCCATTGAGTTAGCTTGTCAGAAGTTTGCAAAAAGTGATCACATGACTCCAGGACACAGGACACATTATAAATATGACACTGTTGCAAATGTCTGAATTTTGATCACGTGACTATGGAGATGCTGCAATGGTCATAAGTGTGAAAAACTCAATCGCTTTTTTCAGTGCCATTGTAACCTCGAACAGTCACTAAACATACTTGGTTTGTTGAAAGAGCCTTGGTAGTACAGTGGTCTAAAGCACCCTGTTATTAAGACCAGCTGCCTGCAATTACTGCAGGTTCGAATCTCGCCAGGCTCAAGGTTGACTCAGCCTTCCATCCTTTCTAAGGTAGGTAAATTGAGGACCCAGTTGTGGGGGCAATAAACTGACTTTGTATAAATATACAAAAGAATGAAGGCTATTGCTTAGCGCATTGTAAGCCGCCCTGAGTCTCTGGAGAAGGGCGGCATATAAATCAAATTAAAAAAAAACAAAAAACTTGTAAGTCGAGAACTATCTATACTGGGGTTTTGTACTAAAGACTATTTTACGGGACAATTAAAGCAGTCTATCATTTTTATGCCTATAAGGATGGAAAATGAGAAGCAAAGTAAGTGCTGAAACCTGTAAAAGATGCAACCCACTGAAAAATACAACATCCCTATGTTTTCAGAAAACCGAAGAGGACAAGTACAGTAAACAGCGAATGCGAGTGAAAATAGCAGCACTTCTTCCTTGACCAATTTTATAACAAAAATCCATTTGTTGATTTGCAGTCTTCAGAAACTAATTTTTAATCAGATGTGAACCTTGAATTAACCCAATGGAAAATAACCTTTCTTCAGCTCATTGACTTGTCTACCCCAGTAACAGGGTCTCTTAATGTTTTGAGGTTCATAGGTGTTTTGAAATTAAGAACTCTGCCATCAGTGAGCATCACAAAATGGCTGCACAGGGAATGAAAAGTCGGCATCCTAAAGTAGCTGCTGAAAAGACAAAACTGTAAAAGTTGGACATAAGTAAAAAACAATGTGCACATTCTTGATCCCATGCAATGCCATCTAGTTACATTGACGGTACTTCATGTAATGCACAACATAAATAATCCACAACAACATGAATGGATGGAAAGCAATCCAGGAAGAAGCAACCTAGAACTAAGGAGAAATTTCCTAACGGTGAGAACAATTAACCAGCTTGCCTTCAGAAGTTGTGGGTGCTCCATCACTGAAGACTTTTTTAAGAAAAGACTGGACAGCCACTTGTCTGGAATGGTATAGGTACTCCTGCTTGTGTTGGACTTTCAAGGTCCCTTCCAACTCTCTTATTCTTTTAATAACAATAATAGATTTTAGATATTTTTATGAAAGGCCAGTAAAGATAACAATAATAAAATAACACATTTTTATTATTCCAGAATTAATGGGAAAATATCAAGGTAGAAAACTGGAAATTTTTGCACCTAAAAGATGCGCTGTATTAATGAATGTAGACCTTTTTTTAAAAAAACTAGTATGTTCACTATACTGTATGGCTGCCAAGAAAAGAAGCTCAAGGGTCACCTCTATACACTGCATTTTTTTAAGATACTGTCCCTGCAGTTTTTCTGAAATTCAAGCATGATGAGCGTGATGCTTGTATTTTGCCAAATATTCTGCAACAAATTTAAAAATGCCACACACAATTTAGCCAAATATAAGCAAATTTAAATCTTATTCATTTCCAAATTAAAGGTGGAAGTTATATTTCTACCTGTGGTTAAAGGGGCTTTTGCAGTCAATATTTGCATGATGTCCATATTAATACTGTAGTTTATCTAACTCAAATTTCTCGATACTGATGTGAGATACTGGTGAATCCGTGGTGGTGTAGTGGTTACAATGCAGTACTGCAGGCTACTTTTGTAGTCTGCCAACTGCCTGCAGTTCGGCAGTTTGATTCTTACAGGCTCAAGGTCGACTCAGCTTTCCATTCTTCCAAGGTGGGTTAAATGACCCAGATTGTTGGGGGCAATATGCTGACTCTGTAATCCCCTTAGAGAGGGCTGTAAAGCGGTACATATGTCTAAGTGCTATTACTATTGCTAGTTGCACATATTGGACTAGGCTAATAATATATTAGGCAAACCTACCTCGGATGGATACATAAACATGCTCCAATTGAACCCCCTTTTATGATCTTTGCTCTGTTTGTCTGGGAAAATAAGCAGTTTATATCCTGAGTTTAGCTGAAATGATTAATATGCATAATGAGGATGTCCTTAAAAAATTATAAAAATTGCAAAGTTTCAGGACAAAAGCACTGTGGAATTACATAGCACATCTTGTAAGAATTTAGTACTACACCAGCTACAACTCTATCCAAGTCAAATAGTTTGGGATGAGAATATCTGAAAGAAGACTCTCATTCCAAATGCACTTCTGAAATAGGTGATGGCAATAGAGATACTACAGTCACTATTTCTCAGGATTTCTTTATTTCCCAATTCTTTGGGTTTTCTGTTGTTTAAATGTTTCTGAATTACTTTAATTAACCTTAATGAAATGTTAATGTTTCTTGGTTGCTTTTTTCCTGTAAATTTTCTACTTGGAATTAATGCAGTTTTAGAACTGTTACAAACATGACAGATTAAGAATCTCTGATAACTGATTATTCAACTGAGACACAATATCAAAGACCGACAGCAACATTTTAATATTGGTTCTAATAGTGAATGCACCTGTTTAGAGGAGTACTTAATAACCATTTAATGAGCATAACCACTATGTCACCTAGCCAAATAATCGTATCTATTCAAGGCTTCACTTTCTTGGGCTTCATTTATTTGGTCTATCTTGCATCTCAGATGCAGCTCAGCCTTAAACGAGTTAAAATTATATATGTTAAAACCATGTAATATATTAAAACAGAAACAGCTGTTGGAAGAAATGTCCATCTGGGTTCAGTTCCAAGTGGGGAGAAACACTGGAAACATGGAGACTGCTTGGAAGGATGGTTTAATGGTGGACAGGACCACATGGTTTGGAAGTCCTGGGTAGCTTCAGAGCATGGAGTGGAGAGAGATATATTTATACCCTCTCAGTCTTTGAACTTGCTTCCCGTTCCTGTGAAAGAAATGTATTCTGATTGGTTGTCAGACTCCCATGGGGCCATGCAGGGGTATCTTTGTAGGTTGTCTTGAGTCCCAGGCTTGGTTGAATCTTGCTGGGTGATGATATAATGAAGAGGGTTTGGGGTAATTCCTATTATGGCTGAGGGCTAATCCTATCTTTGTTAGATCTTGGGTGAGGATATTTGCTTACTGAATAGACTTAATAGACTCTTTTATCTCTTTTAAGTGCTGACATCTGCTGTGGGCTATTGAGGAGGGTGGGGGCTATTAAGAGTGAGTCTGCTTCCTGCCTAAAAAAACATGTTTCTCCATTTCTCATCCAGGGAAATATAATAATCTGCCTTTTTAAATATTTCCTAGAATATTTCATTCTTCCAGGACAGGGGTTGGCAACCTTAAACACTCAAAGAGCCATTTGGACCTGTTTCCAACAGAAAACACCGGGAGCCACAAAACCCTTTTGAACATCTAAAATGAAGATAACACTGCATATATCATTTTTTACATTATGCTATGTATAAAAAAACTATAGTGTGTTGCATTTATGAAATCAATGAACTGCTACAGAGAAAACAATTTTTTATTTCTGCATGCAACAAAAATATTTTGAACTCTGAACAAAAAGATGAGTCGGAAAGCTCAATAAATCACATGCAGGTGGATGTCACACATTGGTGGTTGTGATGCATATTTTGAGTGACGGAGCCGCAGCAGAGGGATAAAAGAGCCACATGTGGCTCCAGAGCCACTTGCAGACCCCTGTTCTAGGAGAAGGTTGGGTGCTAACTTCCTACAAGGCAACATAAAATATTAGCATAAAAATCCTATGTAAGGGATTAAAAAGGCAGAGAAGCATGGATTTTCACTGGAGGATTCTCCTTAGAGCATTGATTTCAACCTGAGCAACTATTAAAATCTGGATTTCAATTCCCAGAATTCCCCAGCCAGCAATTCTGGGAGTTGAAGCCCACAAGTTGACTAGGTTGAAAAAAAAAAAAACACCCCACAACTACTTTAATCCAGCTAATACAAAACTAAGC